TGCCATGATGGACTGAACACCTCACTAAGGCTATTCATGCCCACACACAGGGATATACAATAGGCCAACTTCGGATTCGGAAACTTCAATGTCGGATTCGGAAACTTGCGTGCCCATAGATTCAGAATTTATCCATATACCTAATATATATATATGTGTGTGTGTGTGTCAGTGTGTATTTATATATTATATAGGGAAGCTGCCGATCTTTCTTCTGCCAGCTTATTTGGTCCGTGTGTAGGTGGTTGTGCTCCTTTTTGGTGCACCTGCATCCACCGAAACGCAAAAACATGCAATAAAAATCAAACAGGTGGACAAGCTGGTGGTATAGGCGTTGGTGGTGGGATGCTTGAACCAAGGCATCAGTCGATTGGTCGCTTTCCTAAAGTTCCAGGGAAGCTGCCGCTCTTTCTTCTGCCAGCTTATTTGGTCTGTGTGTAGGTGGTTGTGCTCCTTTTTGGTGCACCTGCATCCATTCTTCTCGCTTGTCCCGTCAATTCGACGCTTTTGCTCCACCTGTTATACACAGACGCTTTTATACACAGACACTTTTACACACATACGCTTTTACATGCAGATGCCTTTCTACAGACGCACACATACTTTCACACACAAACGCTTTTACACACAGACGCTTTTGCACCCAGACACAGACGCTTTTCCACACAGACCCTTTTACACACGGACGCTTTTACACACAAAGACTTTTACACACATACGCTTGTACACACGGACGCTTTTATACGCAAACACTTTTACATACAGACGCTTTTTCACACAGATGCTTTTACACTCAGACACTTTTACACACAGACGCTTTTCCACACAGACCCTTTTACACACGGACGCTTTTACACACAAACACTTTTACACACATACGCTTGTACACACGCACGCTTTTATACGCAAACACTTTTACATACAGACGCTTTTTCACACAGATGCTTTTACACTCAGACACTTTTACACACAGAGGCTTTTCCACACAGACCCGTTTACACACAGACGCTTTTACACACAAACACTTTTACACACATACGCTTGTAGACACGGACGCTTTTATACGCAAACACTTTTACACGCAGACGCTTCCACGGAGACTTTTACACAGAGACGCTCACAAAGCGCGGCACCACTGGGTGACCTCAGTTGGAAACAAAGGTGCGCAAACATAGTTGCAATGGAAATGCTCAAAAATCGCAAAAGTGCACAAGACCAGGCTCAGTACCATGATCAACGCACAGTCCAATGCAAGGCATCCGCTCTTTGAGATACAAAAGAAGCTCGGCACCATGATGCCGTGGATGACCTTAGTTGCAAACAAAGGTGGGCAAACATAGTTGCAATGGAAATGCTACAAAATGCAAAAGTACACAAACAAAGGCTCCGTAAGAAACTAGAACTCCGTGCAAGAATGCTGTGAATGATTCCACAATAGCAAGTTCGATATCATTTTTTGTCCACTGCTCATGCATTTCAATGTTTTTTTTTTGCTGTACATCACATAGATCCACTGCATCGTAAACAAACACTGACATTGTCACAATGCAATTCTCGAGATCTCACAGACAGCCCCTACAGAAACCTCGAGAAGTGCAAGAAAAGTTACAGATACCTGTTAGCCAATCGTCACTTGTTTCTCGAACATTCAGCGTACATCACCGTGCTCAATGCATCTTGTCTCAATGGATGTTCACTCCGTGCTCAATGCATCTTGTCTCTACGTACACCTCTGAGCCCAGGAAAGAGATAAAGAGGTAAACTATGCTTGTCGCTGCAAAGTTGGACAATCCACTGCAAAGCAGTTGTTCTCTGACTTCCAAACTGAGAACACCACTCATGAGTTTGACATGGCAAAGAACCACTGTCGCAGAGACCTGCAAACTGAAGGCTGAACGCGTCAACGGTGAAGCTTACAATGAACACATCAAATCAACACACTTCAAAAAAATTGTGCACCGTGAATCGCCGACTACAACCACATGTTATTCATTTGAATATGCAGTGAGAAAGATGCAGTGAGCTACGCACTCACACAATCCAATGCCAAGAAATCGTTCTCCGACTTCGACGCTCAGGGCACAATTGCTAAGTTTGACACTGGGCATGGGCACCATTGTCGCAGAGACCTGCAAACTGAACAGTGAAGCTTGCAATGAACACATCAAATCAACACACTTCAAAAAAAAAAAAGCAAATGGGTCCCGTGAATCGCCGACTAAAACCACATGATATTCATTTGAATAGATGTATCGGAACTCATCCTCCGACATGTCTCCAAGATGAGATCGCTTGCACCCCACAACTTCCAACACCCATGCCACTTCCTCATCCTCCGGCGGTCTCCACGCGGCCATTGCCGAGCGGCCCAGACAAAATTGAACGGTGCAGTGATTCCCGAATTATTTATTTTTTTTGTCCACTGCTCATAATTTGAATGAAAACAACACATATATGTTTTTCGTGCTATACATCACATAGATCCACTGCATCGTAAACAAACACTGCAATTCTCGAGATCTCATGGACTGACCCTACAGAAACCTCGAGAAGTGCAAGAAATGTTACAGATACCCGTTTGCCAATCCTCACTTGTTTCACGAACATTCAGCGTACATATAAGAATATGGATGTTCACTCTGTGCACAATGCATCTTGTCTCTACGTCCACGTCTGAGCCCAGGAAAGAGGTACTTGGTAACCTCTACAACTCCTTTACACAGAAACACTTTTACACACAGACGCTTTTACACACAGACGCAACGCTTTTACACACAGACGCTTTTACACACAGACGCTTTTACACACAAAAGCTTTTACACAGAGACGGTTTTACACACAGACGCTTCTACACGCAGATACGTTTTACACACGCACACACGCTTTCACACACAAACGCTTTTACACACAGACGCGTTGACACACAAACGCTTTTACACACAGACGCTTTTACACGCAGATGCTTTTTACACACGCACACACGCTTTCAAACACAAACGCTTTTACACACAGACGCTTTTACACACAGACACTTGTACAGAAACGAAAGCGTCCATCGCAATTTTTCCTCAGTTTTTGACGTCCAACGTCCATTTCGTGCGTAAGGGTTGCGCGGGACACCTCAAAGTCGCAATTTTTCCTCAGTTTTTGACGTCCAACGTCCATTTCGTGCGTAAGGGTTGCGCGGGACACCTCAAAGTCGCAATTTTTCCTCAGTTTTTGACGTCCAACGTCCATTTCGTGCGAAAGGGTTGCGCGCGACCTTCAAAGTCGCAATTTTTCCTCAGTTTTTGACGTCCAACGTCCATTTCGTGCGTAAGGGTTGCGCGGGACCTCAAAGTCGCAATTTTTCCTCAGTTTTTGACGTCCAACGTCCATTTCGTGCGAAAGGGTTGCGCGCGACGCTTCAAAGTCGCAATGTTTCCTCAGTTTTTAACGTCCAACGTCCATTTCGTGCGAAAGGGTTGCGATGGACAAAGTAAAATCGCAATTTTACCTCAGTTTTTGGCGTCCAACGTCCATTTCGTGCGAAAGGGTTGCGTTTCGTGGCGCTCCGGCGGCACCGCCCCCGCCTTAAGAGAGAATAGAAGAAGAGCGAGAGGAGATCTGCAGATGTGAAGGTGTGAAGATGTAGATCGGCAGATGTGAGGGTGTGAAGATCTAGATCTGCAGATGGGAAGGTGTGAAGATCTAGATCTGCAGGTGTGAAGGTGTGAAGATGTAGATCGGCAGATGTGAGGGTGTGAAGATCTAGATCTGCAGATGTGAAGGTGTGAAGATCTAGATCTGCAGGTGTGAAGGTGTGAAGATCTAGATCTGCAGGTGTGAAGGTGTGAAGATCTAGATCAGCAGGTGTGAAGGTGTGAAGATCTAGATCAGCAGATGTGAAGGTTTGAAGATCTAGATCTGCAGGTGTGAGGGTGTATATGATGTAGATCTGCAGGTGTGAAGGTGTAAGATGTAGATCTGCAGATGTGAAGGTGTGAAGATCTAGATCTGCAGGTGTGAGGGTGTGAAGATCTAGATCTGCAGATGTGAGGGTGTGAAGATCTAGATCTGCAGGTGTGAAGGTATGAAGATCTAGATCTGCAGATGTGAAGGTGTGAAGATCTAGATCAGCAGATGTGAAGGTGTGAAGATGTAGATCAGCAGATGTGAAGGTGTGAAGATGTAGTATAACGGCTGCTTTTTTACGAAGAACCCTTCGCAGGCGCTCTCGGGAAAAACGAAAGAATTCTGCGAGACTTCCTTTAAGAATGGAAAGTTGAATGCAGAGCTGACGGCCTCGTACCAGTGCGTTTTGCGATTTTTCGACTCCATCTGTCTAAAGTGCTGTGCCTGCCACGAAAAAGTGATGCCAAGTCATACAAAGTGCTGCACCTGTCACGCAAAATCATCTTCGCAAACCTGAAGATCTGATGCTCCAAAATGCAACCCCTCTCAGGAAATCAGCGGACTGACCTCCTAACATCTCTGATCAACATGTCTCTTGTACTGCGCCTGCCACGCGAAATCCATCTTTGCAAATCTTCTTCAAATGTCCCACGCCCGCCATCGTTTTTGAAAAATGCCACAAAACCCGCACATTTTGCTCATTTTTGGCAAGGTGGAGAATCCCCAAAACGACGCTTCAACGTCCAAAAGTGGCGCGAACATGTGGCGCTTTGTGCATTTATTGACTTCGAAATGTGCTTCGCGCCACAACGGCGTGCACTTTTTGGACATCTCAATTTCCAAAAGTGGTCCGAACATGAGGTGCTTTGTACATTTTGACTTCGGCATGTCCTTTGCGCCACAACGGCAACTTCCAAAAGTGGTCCAAACATGAGGTGCTTTTTACCTTTTGACTTGAAAACGTGCTTCGCGCCGCAAAGGCGTGCACTATTTCGACATCGCAACTTCCAAAAGTGGTCCGACACTGGTGTGTTTTGCGCATTTTGGCTTAGAAGTGTGCTTCGCGCCACAACGGCGTGCACTTTTTCGATATCTCAACTTGCAAAAGTGGTCCCAACATGAGGTGTTTTGTACATTTTGACTTGGAAATGTGCTTCGCGCCACAACGGCGTGCAACTTTTCATCTCTCATCTGGCCAGATGGCTCCCCAGCTTTAGCGAGCCTACTTTTCGACCCTCCGGAGCCACAAATCATTGGAAAAACACAGTGCTTCGCGAATTTCCTACCTTTTCACGCACCTGGATCTTCTTTCTTCGGAGACTTTCTCCTTTTTGATCTTCTTTCTTCTTCTCTTCTCTTCTGACTCTTCCCATCTCTGCTTTTCATCTGTCCACATTGTCGGAAGTTTGACTTCTAAACTTCCTTCGATGAACCAAGTCTTAAAGATTTGCAAACACCGAGGACCAGACTAAACCACTTAGCACATCAAAATTGTGCAGGGCGCACACCGTTCCAAGGTTGACATCCAGTTCATTGAGGCCATACGAAACCTTGAAATGCGGCACACAAGCCAAGTATCCTGGCACTACGGGTTGTTCACAATGTGGCAGGACAGTGATCTACCAAAGGCAAAGTTGGCTTAGGCTGGTGTTCCCGATGTTCCCAATCAGCAACTCAAGAACTTTAGATCTGCAACGCAAAGTTGTTATGGGTTGAAAGTCGTCCAGTTGAAGGCTTCTCACATCATGTTGCTTTAGTATGCTAACAAAACTGCCAGAAGAACAACTGCCCCGTGATTGAGGATAGACCTATCCCAAACTTGGATAGATCTCTATTTTTTCATATACAATCGTATATGTATATATATATATACATATACCTAGAAATATCCAGCCGAGAATTTGAGCTTCCCACAAAACTTGCCAAGGTTCATAGGTAAAATGGCTGTTTCGCATGCTGAGGATTCGATTCTCCATGGTCTCAACATGATTGAGACCCAGGTGCGCAATGTGATCCAGCGCCTCACGAGATTGAAATCTCTACTCACTGTGCATCGGGGACCCGGGGAACTAGGTGTTTTAAAAAAATGAAAAAACATACGCCGGTTGTAAAGAATAAAACATATCATAATATGATAGAATAGAAAATAATAATTATAACTTATAACTATGGTTCGTAATGGTTACTCGCCAATTACCAACTGGTTGCACATGCAAGTAGGAGGTCCCTCCAACTGTTCCTGTAGGGGCCAGTAAGACTCCGTCACCACGATGCCAACTACCCATTCCTCATCTTGGAGTATACGTCAAACTTTTGCTAAAGGTCAATAAAAGCCTTATAGCCTGATAACTATCTATGTGTATATATATATTATATATATATACATATAACTAAACTTCCTTTCCATTCTCCAAAAAGAATGAGCCATGTCCAATGAACAACTGAAGCAACCCATCCCAAAAGATCCCAAAATCTCACCTCCTCAAGCTGAGGAAATCGGTAGCTAAAGCCAATAAGTTCCTTCTGCCACAATTCGGCGTAGAAGATCCAGGGTTCGTCATCCCAGAGATACAAGGGCACCCTCGACTCGGCCGACTTCGGCAATTTCCCAGGGATACAGTTGGTCAAGGATGGTTACACGGTGTTACACGAGCTACTGGATGGTTTACTGGCCAACTTGTTCGAGTTTTGGGACTGAACGTCGAGACGTCCTTGGATTTGATTGAAAAATTCTCTTAGAGATGAACATAGAAGAGTGTGTGTGTGTGTGTATGTGTGTGCGTTTTCTATCAGAAACCTGTCTAAAAGTGCAGCAAAGCACCGGAATCAACCCAAGGGGCCATTGTTCGAACAGCCCAGGGTATCTCCAGATTGCAAGATATTCTTAAAAATATGTATGACAAAGCCTAGCTGCTAGACAAAGCATCCAGCGCTTGCAGCAAACAACGAACACAAAATCCTATACGGGTACATATGGGTAGTCTCAGCAGAAAGAAAAGCAAGAGTTGATTTGGGGATGGGTTAATGGCTAGGGAAGCATTGGAAGGGCGGAGGGGTTTCTTTCGAAATTCGTATCAGGTTTAGCTGACCCATACCCCTTGCACTGTCTTTGAGTCAGCATGCCTCAATTCTTTTGCTTATCCCCCCTCCCACAGTGGATAGTGAAGGTTGATAGGGCCCCCATTCTAAAACGAATACCTTGATCTTGTAATTGGAAAGGTCAAGGTGGTTTCGGGATCAACCAACCAATTCCCTTTGGGGAAATCCCATCCCTTCATAATAAATATTCCACTATTTTTGATCCGGGATTTCCAGCTAGCCATGATGATCCTATGATTTTTGGTTGTATCCCATATTTTATCCCCATATTCCCATTGTATCTCTATAGCAACCCAACAAAAATCGACAAGTGAACTCCTAAAGTAGTAATGAGTCATGGGCGTACAACTGTTCTATCTGGAGGTTACTGGAACTTCTCGTTGGATATTCTTCCACCATTTTCCAAATCGCCATCGCTCAACGAGGCTCCGTCCCATCTGGAAGATCTCGCCCATTCGGAAGGAGCTGCGACCAAAACCTCTGGGCACCAAGGCCATGGCTGACTTCCTGGCGAAGCAGACCATGGAGTATCTATGGAGCATCCACCATCCCACGACTCAGTGGTTAGTAACTGGGGTTATAAAGCCATTTACAAATGGGATCCACGAATCCGGGACTTACTAACCAAGGTTGTTAGCTACTCACTGGGATGATCCTGAAAAGTACATCAGCGAGAACTGTGGCGAACTACCCCGCGGATCTTAACCGGCATGCACCACCAAGTGGATAGGTCATGATAATAGTTTTGTAAAAACGGCTAACCTCTGGTTTCATCAAACATGGTTGGCTGGAAAATATCCTCTAAATTGGTATTTAGTTTAAATGGGAAATCATCGAATTAATTGGTGGAAATTCTGGCAAACCATGTTGGATTACGAAAAAACGTAAATAGTTATATATATATAAATATTATACAAGCCTTTTATATTATTATTATCATTACCATCATCATCACCATTATTATAATTATTGCAATTATTACCAGTAATACCGCACAAGGCGGTGCCGGAAGTTTCAAAAATAGGAAACCTATAGGAGAGATTGGTTCTTGTGAATCACGGATGGCAGAGCGAATCACTGATGGACCGACAGGTGGTTAAGGTCTCCTCTCTCTCTCTCTCTTTCTCTGAATATCTACCTACCTACCTACCTACCTATCCATCCATCCATCCATCCATCTATCTAGCCGTCGATCCATCTATCTATCTATCTATCTATCTATCTAACTAATCTATCTATCTATCTAATCAATCTATCTATCTATCTATCTATCTATCTATCTATCTATCTATCTATCCACCTATCTATCTATCGATTTTTCTCTCTCTATCTATCTCTCTCTCTCTCTATCTCTCTATCTATCTATCTATCTTTCTTTCTATCTATCTTTCTATCTATCTATCTATCTCTCTCTCTCTATCTCTCTATCTCTCTATCTCTCTCTCTCTCTCCATCTCTCTATCTATCTATCTATCTATCTATCTATCTGTCTATCTATCCATCTATCCATCCATCCATCTATCCATCTATCCATCTATCGATCTATCGATCTATCGATCTATCGATCTATCTATCTAACTATCTATCTATCTATCTGTCTATCTATCTATCTATCTATCTATCTATCTCTCTCTCTCTATCTCTCTATCTATCTATCTATCTATCTATCCTTTCTATCTTATCTAATTTTATCTAATCTTAATCTAATCTTATCTAATCTAATCTAATCTAATCTAATCCAATCTATCTATCTATCTATCTATCGATCTATCGATCTATCTATCTATCTAACTATCTATCTATCTCTCTGTCTGTCTGTCTATCTATCTATCTATCTATCTATCTATCCGTCTATCTATCTATCTATCTATCTATCTGTCTATCTATCTATCTATCTATCTTTCTATCTATCTATCTATCTATATTTCTTTCTATCTATCTATCTACCTATCTACGTATCTACCTATCTATCTATCTATCTATCTTTCTATCTATCTCTCTCTCTCTCTCTCATCTGTCTATCTAACTATGTACCTATCTATCTACCTATCTACCTATCTCTCTATCTATCTATCTCTCTGTCTGTCTGTCTTTCTGTCTATCTATCTCTCTGTCTGTCTGTCTGTCTATCTATCTATCTGTCTATCTGCAAATTTGAAAACGAACCTATTCTGCGAGATTTCCTCAATTTTTGAACTTAACAACGTCAAAAACGAAACAATTCTGCGAGACTTCTTCTTTTTTTGCACTTGACAACATCCAAAACGAAGCAATTCTGCGAGACTTCTTCCATCTTGGAACTTGACAATATCAAAAACAAAACAATTCTGCGAGACTTCCTTCAAAAATGGACAGTTGAGTGCAGCGCTGGCAGCCTCGTACCAATTCGTTTTGCGATTTTTTTAGTCCACCTGTCTAAAGTACTTCCCATGCCACGAAAAATTGATGCCAGGTCATACGAAGTGCTGCACCTGTCACGCAAAATCATCTTAGCAAACCTACAGATCTGATGCCCCAAAATGCACCCCCTCTCAGGAAATGAGCGCCCTGACCTGCCACGCGAAATGCATCAAATGCTGCTAAACACTCACGTTTTGCTCACTTTTGACAAGGTGCACAATCCTTTGCGCCTGCCACACGAAAACACATCTGAACGTCCAAAAATGGCGCGAACATGTGGTGCTTTTCACATTTTGACTTCGAAATGTGCTTCACGCCACAACGGCGTGCGCTTTTCCGACATCGCAACTTCCAAAAGTGGTCCGACACTGGGGTGTTTTGCACATTTTGGCTTCGAAATGTGCTTCGCGCCACAACGGCGTGCGCTTTTTCGACATCGCAACTTCCAAAAGTGGTCCGACACTGGTGTGTTTTGCGCATTTTGGCTTAGAAGTGTGCTTCGCGCCACAACGGCGTGCACTTTTTCGACATCTCAACTTGCAAAAGTGGTCCGAACCTGGTGTGTTTTCTACATTTTGACTTGGAAATGTGCTTCGCGCCACAACGGCGTGCAATTTCTCATCTCTCATCTGGCCAGCTAGCTCCGCACCCGCCGCTTTAGCGAGCCTACTTTTCGACCTTGCGGAGCCTCAAATCATTGGAAAAACACAGTGTTTCGCAACTTTCCTACCTTTTCGCGCATCTGCATCTTCTTTCTTCTGACTCTTTCTCTTCTACTCTTCTCTCTTCTAATCTTTCTCTTCTCTCTGCCTCTGCCCTGCTCTGCTTTTCATCTGTCCATATTGTCGGAAGTTTGACTTCAAAACTTCCTTCGATTATTATATATATGCACCAGGCCCTGCCACCCCCCCGTCCCCCCCCATGGGATGGGTCCCATATACTGCCCCCATATGAAATCTTCCCCCTCCCCCCCCTGTGGTGTGGTGTGGGTGTGGTACTGTCCCCCTCCCCCCCCTGTGGTGTGGTGTGGGTGTGGTACTGTCCCCCTCCCCCCTGTGATTTAGTTTGTTTTACGTGTCTCCACAATGCATTCATGCATGTTGACATGTACACTTAATTCACATCTTTCATGCGCACTCCGCATGGCTCAAGACTAGCAGCAATTCCGCAGCATAGAAAAGTGTCCGCCGCTCATCGCTTGCTACAGGTGTTTAGATTAGTTGTCCAGGGCTCCCCTAATAGAGGGATAGCTACCTCAAAGTGGTAGCGGAGCCTGTGCCTTCGCCAAGTCTAGATCCGTGTGCCGAACTGCCGTTCTCTGCATACATTCCGTATATCGGACTTGCGGAGGCAACCTGTAGGTCAAGTTAGAGTAGCTGCCATGGTCTTAATCCACAACATGGATTCAGATGAAGAACAACTCCAGATTGTCTCGTATGAAGAGCCTGAAGCATATGCCGCCACCAGTCATTCCGAAAACCGGATGGGCATCAAAATGACACCGAAGGTTCCACCCCAATTTGATGGCCAATCAAGCTGGTTTGAATATGAAGATTTAATTGATGACTGGTTAGGGATCACAACATTGGATGCAGATAAACACGGACCATCATTAAAGAATGCCCTCATTGGTTCCGCTTCTTTTTATAAGTCGATGCTCGATAATGCCCTACTCCGAGATCCGGATCGTGGCCTCGCTCATTTCAAGGACACATTGAGACCATACTTCGTGAAGGGAGTAAATCATGTGTTCCTTTGGCGATTCCTCCAGATGTTTCGCACATATCGAGGCCAGAGCGAATTCGTGCACTGGATAGGGCGATTTGAGATCGCGCAGAAGCGTTTGTTGGCTTCTTGGTCCGATCTGCTGGACATATCCGATCTTCCCGAAGCAGGCACTCAGGCATTTACGGCAGCACTCACAGATGAGCAAAGACTGCACTATAATGGAATAGTAACAGATGAAGATAAGCTGGCTTATCAACAAGAATTGAGAGAACAGACCATAACCAATAGAAGGACCAGACATGCACAGCAGTTTCCATTGTCAGACAATTTGATGTCACTGATTTTTCTAGTGCAAGCAGACCTCAACGAGCAACAGCGAGAGCGCTTTGTCTCGTCCATGAACATCCGTCAGATTGCAATGCCTCAATACACCTATCTCCAAGTGAAACAGCTGTTCTTAGAACTTTTTGCCGTTTCCCGCACAGGTGTTGCAGACCCAAATATCACGCACCGCAAGCGGTCCAACTTCTACGTCATCGACGAGGGCGAGACCGAAGAAGGTGAGTACGGATTTTGGGTTTTCGATGAAGAGACGGGTGAAGAAGGTTTCACAGGTCTGTACACGGAGAACGAGTTCTGGGTTCTCAGCGCCAAGGGTTCATACTCTAAGCGCCGCATCTACGGCAGGTCCTTCAAGAAAGGTAGACCAAAAGGTTATGGCAAGAAAGGAGGAAAGAAATCAAGACCCGGCTTCCGCTCGAGGTCAAAAGGCAAAGGTTTTGCAGCATGGGAAGATGACCAGCAAGACACGGCTTTCTGGGGAAAAGGCAAGGGCAAAGGAAAAAGTAAAAAGGGCAAGAAAGGAATGATGAAAGGAAAGGATTCTTTCAAAGGAATGCCTTCATGGAAAGGAAAAGGAAAAAGTGATGCGAAGAACAAAGGAGGAACCAATCCATTTTTGTCACAACCTCCACAAGCTAATGTAGCACAGACTGCATCATCTAGTGCATCACATGCCCCTGAAAAACAAGAGACAGCCCATGCCGAAGAAAGCTGGAGTTACGACTATGACACATACTGGACAGATGACTGGTCAGGTTATGAATCCTACTATGGATATGACGGAGATTACTCCCAAGGTGATTGGTACAATTGGTCGTACTTTGCTTCCGCTGAGGAACTGACCGACTCCGAGGACAAGCATTCAGACGTCAACTTCGAGGACGGACAGACCGACAAGATCAACCGGTTCTGTTTTTCAGGCATCCGCTTGTTCCGATTGTTCGGACACGAACTTGTAGAGGCCCTCACATTCGTGCTTCTGTTCGTGTCTGTGATGTACCAGTGCTTTTCTGATTTGAACAGGTCCCTATTGAAGA